TAGGTCAATTGGTTTTTAGGTCAATTTGCCAGTTCCCGTGCTAACTGCGTTTCATAAATCGATAACTTTTGCTTATTTTAACAAGTCATTTAAATTTCAAATGTATCATTTAGCACATTTAATATTACTATAACTATAAATTAATTTCTAAAATAAATTAAATAGTTAAACACAACATAATTAAGTGCCTTGAATAGTTTGCTCTGTTTTTGTATACAAAACTTTCATACAAGTTACAGGGTGAATGTTTTTCCAAAAAAATTGCAGTAATGTATTAACAATTTCATGTTTTAATTACTACGGTATAACATTTGCAAGTAATTTAAAAATGTAATTGCATTACAATCATGTAATTATAAGAAATAATTTTCAATGTAACTCTAATTGCAAAATATACATTCCAGTATGTTATAAGTATGAACAAATAATCATAACATAATTTGTGTTATTTAAAAAAACTAATTGTAATTGACAAAACAAAATCATAATAAATTAGTGACTAAATTGGTTGTATTAATGGCTAACTTTTGAACATTTCATCAAGTATATAGCATATCATATGTACCATTTAACTTGATATAAAACTATAATATTAATTTCTAAGCACAGAGTTGTAAACATTTAAAAATTTAAATAGTTAAACACGACTTAATTACGTGCCTTGGTTATTAGGTTTATATAATTTACACCAAGAATATTTTATCGCTTGTGAATGCCCACAACAAGCCGTTTGGCCTGACATCTGGAGAACTCCTTAGTGAAGACTATGGGGACGTCAGTGTCGGTGACTCTGAAGAAGCGGAACTTCTGCGAGATCTCCGCCAACACGAGCTTTGCCTCCAATAACGCGAATCGCATTGCAATGCAATTTCGTGGACCCGAACCGAATGGGAGGTAAGTATAGGGTTGGATGTGATCCCTGTTGTCCGGCATAAATCTATCCGGGCTGAAGGTAAATGGATCCGGAAAGTGGTCGGGGTCGTGATGTATAGCATAGATAGGGATGTCAACGATCACTCCCTTCTCGATTTTCACTCCAGTGTTGCCTAACATGACGTCTTCCATGGCTTCCCTCTCGAGTCGAAGTGCAGGAGAATAATGACGAAGAGTNATGATTGAGTTAATGTGTGTGTGTGTGTGTGTGTGTGAGAGAGAGAGAGAGAGAGACTATTTATGTTAATAAATACCTGAATACGAGTATTTCGATTGAATTCAATTCCGTTAATAACTTCACTATAAGTGATGCCAAAGAAAACATTGTGACCCCTGTTATGACAAATGCTATGCGCACGTCTTACCGCAATACCACCACGTCCGAGGTGTGTGTTTGAGAGAGAGAGAGAGAGAGAGAGGGAGACCCAAAACACAACTTACTTAATACTATTAACTCGTATGCCTTTGGGTCCCAACTCAGTGGCCATACATTTGGTGAACATATCAATCGCCGACTTTGCCATACAATACGCCGACTCTTTCGGACTCTGTTCATAAAATAGATATTAATTGAAGCATGGTCAATATAGGTTAATATAGGTGATTATAGGTGAATATATTGAAACTACTATACAGCATGAGCTCCTCTAATGCTGGACATGTTGATAATGGTGCCCCGGGTCTTCTCCAGATGCTCCACACATATGCTGGTCATGAATAGCATGGCCTCCAGGTTTGTGTGCATAGTCTCCCTATACTTAGCCATAAATGATGGCTCAGTAATGGAGGCGTTCTCGTGACTGACGGGACAGTTGACCAAAATGTCGATTCGGCCAAAAGTCGTCATAGTTTTGTCGACCAGTTTTTGCAGGTCTGCCTCTCGGGTGGGGTCGGCCGCCATTTCCAGTACTTGAGCGCCAGTACTGCGACACTCATTGGCTACGGTAGTGAGTCGGTTGTCGGCGTACTGTCCGCTCACTACAACACTGGCGCCCGATTTGGCGAACAGTATGGCTGTGGACACAGCAACGCGTGTGTTGGCACCGGTGACCAGGGCCACTTTGCCACTGAAGTCGTATGAAACGGACATTTTCTACTAAATTAATGGTGGTGGGTAGATTTAGTGCTTTGTAAAAAATGATTTTTGTAACTAAAAGTAATTTTACTAATTTATTTGAAAACTAGCACATTATATATACTTATAATATGAGTGCAATAATTCCAAATAAAGGTTTTAAACTGCATTCAGAAAACTTGACAATAGAGCTTACATTAAACACGTTCCCTATTAGCAAATGTTTACATTTATTTCGTATTATTGGGAGTGATATGACTTCAATTATCGTGATATCAGCAATATTATGTTATCCGGGTTTTATTGCTTAACAACGATTTTACATTTATATCAAGCCCATTACACAAGTTGATTAATTTAATAAAAAAGATCTGTAGTATCGTAGAGAGTACATCAAAATCACGAAAAACAAAATTTCGAAAAACATTATCTCGAAATTAAAACCATTGTATTAATAACACTACACCGGGAGTAATTAGCACATCCACATATATCTGATGTAGCTACATCTTTGATAGCTATATATGTAGCACATCCGGGTGGTAAGCTATTTAATGTCTATTTGAGTGGTTAACATGCTTTTACCGGTACTATTATATGTCCTACTCGTTAGTAATAAAAGTTATTAATTATCTATTTTTACCTTTAATTATAACTTTAGTAACCAGGCGCAGTTATATTACTATCCTATTATGAAGTAAAGCTTTTTAAATAATTTTTAATAATTATTTTTAATTTGAACTATGTCAATCATTTTAATTTTTAAAAGAAATAACTTTATATTAATATTGAAATACAATATAAAAGCAATGTCATTTTTCTAATTACAAAATTGAATGATAAGCATTAATCTAAGTCTATTACTATAAAAGAATTATTTATCCATTTATGGCGGCGTGCACAAAGTACGTGCGCAAAATTTTGGTCAAAAATTGACCCCCCCCTCCCCCCTACACGCCCATCGTACATAGGAATTTAACATGGTGGCATACGCTTTGGCATGACCCCCCCCTCCCCCTACCAGTGCGTATGTACTTTGTGCACGCCGCCTATTTGCTAATATACAGTATACTTGAACCACTATTTTGTATTACAATTATACTGTAAATGTGTTCACTTTAATTAAAAACAATCAAAATGGATATGACTAACGGATTAATTGTCTTAACTATCACATTGATATCGAAATACATTTATTTGTAAAATACTATTATAATTATAAACAAGGCGGATAGCTGAAGTCAATCGAGGCATACGCTTTTTTAGTTCAAGTTATTTTTAGTTTTCAATATATTTGCAATATATTTGGGTATAATTCAGGTGATAAGCAGTACAAAGTGATCAACAAACAAAAAATCTAGGCACTAAACAAACATTACTGATAACGTTCAGTGTACCGGGTGAACAGATAGTGTTGGATTATAATGCTTTTATTTTCAAAACAATTTATATTTAAAATAAAGAGATTTTGTTATTATATTTAACATGAGTTTTGTACTCATATGTACCATCTAACTTGATATAAAACTATAATATTAATTTCTAAGCACAGAGTTGTAAACATTTTAAAATTTAAATAGTTAAACACGACATAATTACATGCCTTGGTTATTAGGTTTATATAATATACACGAAAAATATTTTATCGCTTGTGAATGCCCACAACAAGCCGTTTGGCCTGACATCTGGAGCCATCCTTATTGAAGACTACGGGGACGTCAGTGTCGGTGACTCTGGAGAAGCGGAACTTCTGCGAGATCTTCGCCAACGCGAGCTTTGCCTCCAATAACGCGAATCGCATTGCAATGCAATTTCGTGGACCCGA